CAAAATTAAAAACATTTTATTTAGGCCTATCTATGGCCTCAGCAACGTTGTAACGTCGAAACATGTAGAGTCGTCAACTTTTTGAAGGCCATAGATAGGCCTAAATAAAATGTTTTTAATTTTGTACCAGTTTAACGTTGTATATTATTTATGATTTTAACTTTATACACAAGGGCCAAAATACTATAATTGTGTTATAAGTTGTTTTTGTGTATGTAAAAGCATACGTATCAGCAAATAAATGTACATCAATACACACAAGACTGCTATACAAAGTAGAGAATTTCTAAGAATCTTTGGTTAAGCATGAATGAATGGCCACTAGTTTTTAAAATGTCTTTTTTGTGTGTGTGTATGTGTGTTATAAGAATTTGGCAGTTAGTTTTACATACACCTACATAAATATATACATATTAAGAAATATAACTCAAGCTTATTACAAAAAAGATAAAATACTGTTACGACAGCGGAGGTCACGTGATGCTAGTAACACGTCACGCCTGAAGCCTCTGGAGGTTACTAGATTTCAGTATTCTTGTACATATATAAGACGGCCAAGATGTGACGGCAACAATGGGTAATTAAACTGCAGACAGAGAAAGACATATTGTTGAGTCGAACACGTGAGCGTTCGTTGTGAATTATAGCGTTTGTTATAGCGTGACTGTAAAAATTAAGTGTATTGCAAAGTTGTATTCAGAAAGAATAAACCAGTTTTATTTAAGAAAGGACATGTATCGCTAAAGTTTCTTCGGAAAGAACTTTTACGGAAAATTAACTAACGTCCAGAGACGTAACAATACTATATATTTAAGCCGCTGAAGACTTGAGTATGTATGTACATACACACACACTCTCATTATTTATTACATTGTAGAAAGACTAGTACTAGTGTATCATAGCGCATAGTCTGATCTAATAAAATAATCCTTATATTAGGTTCTACAATACCTTCATTATTTTCAAGTGAATTTTCTTTCTTGAAAAATGATTCATGTAACTTGTTTTTCTTGGAAAGTTAGTTGAATATGGTTTCGCTTATCCGAGATAATCTCTTTTGTAATCTGTTCAGGGTGTACAAGGGCTGTCTTGATACAATAGTGTCCAAATAGTTCTTCAGTATTTGCTATTATACTAATATTGTTATTATTATGCATAGGTGTTTATCTAAGTTAATTGTTTATGGTGAATTATGGAGAAATAAGTGAAGCATCACAATTGTGATTTATGTTTATTTGTTCTCTATTGGCTACAAAGTAGAAAAGGCAAAAAATTAAGGTTTGCATCGAGCATATATCTCCTTATCACACTGATTTAAGAGCTAGGTTCTGATTGATTCGGTACGAAGATTCACCATTGGATAAAAAAAAAACATTGTTACAGATTAATTTTGTGTTTACAGGTAAAGATAAATAACTTCCCCCTCTTCTCTTTGATTTGTTTTGTTTGTAATTAAGCACAAAGCTACACAATGGGCTTTCTGTGCTCTACCCATCAAGGGGTATCGGAACCCGGTTTCTAGCATTGTAAGTCCACAGACATACCGCTGTGCCAATGGGGGGGGGCTTTCTCTTCGATCAGAAAATATTGACATCGGTGTAAGGTTTTCGAAAATGTTTTTATTTAACTTGAATTCAAATCGGGGGGTGGTTCAGTGTTAGCGTGCCGAATTACAGATAAAGTTCAAGGTTCGCTACTGCCATGTGACGCTGAACACATTTCTCACTCTTAACTGTAGGCGCGTCATAAAGGTGACAGTCAGTGTCGCTGTTTGCGTAAGTGTGTAGCCGTGTATGCGCCGTGTGCTGTTGCGTCTGGTCAGCAGCTCCAAATAAGAAATGACTATTCCGATCTTTGGGGTCTCAAACCTGATCGTTTATCCGATCTACCGCATAAGATATACAATTGAGACCGAGAATTCCAAATACTAAATATGATAGATTTGTTCGTTGGAATTGATTAGTGACGCGAAGTTTATCTTGCTATAAGTTGAAATCAATCCGAAAATCCCAATTAAGACTTATTTCAAGACATTTGTTTTAACAGTTTGTTTAATAGTTACATATACTCCGGACCACATTGGGGGGGGGGGGTACCTACCTTTCCTTATCTGATGGTGCGGACATGTCTTCAGTTTAAAACATTTAATACTTAAAAAAGCTATGATGCTACCTTTTAGATGAGTATTTGTTATTTCTGGTTTAAGTCTTAATAAAAGAGAAAGTTGTGGTATTCTATTCGGTGAAAACGAAATAAAAACAATGCATTGCTCATAGGAGATACCGTGATATTTTTGAGGGAGATAAGCATCTTTTATTATATATCTGCGCGTGTATACAAGTTTTATTTCTTTAACTTTTTATAGTGCGCTTTTATTAAGGACTAATTATTGATAGCCCCATCAGTACAGCCGCCATTAGCTCTTCTCGAGTGAATAAATTATTT